TCTCGCTTCATCTCCTGATTGACATTGTTGATGTGCCTCATGGCTAAGCATGCATGGTCACGTTGTCGTTCCAATTCTTCAATGCGAATTCCAGATCCTTCATCTTCTTGTTGCATCTCCTTGATCTTGTCCATCAGGGTCTGGACGATTCCTTCGTATTCTTGCACCTGACTGCGATAGTACATCTGCTGTGCAAGGTTCGATGCTTCAAACTGTTGCGAAATCGTCAGCTCCTGATAAGCGTTCGGACCATCAGCTATGGCAGGCGTGGCCACGGACGACGCATCACCACGTGCAGGAATCGTATCCAGAGTCATATCCAGATCGTCAGCATCGCGTGGTTGATTGGTAACCATCCGATTCCACGTCATGGATTTGTCACGCCCACGAGTGGCTGAGGTCCTCGATCGTGCTGAAGAGCTTCTCGAAGATGATGGCCTTGACTTCTTTTCCAAGGTCTTGACTCCTTTGTCCTTGGCCCTGGACGTAGTCCGAGGTGCCTGAAAACCAGACGCTTCGGCCCGTCGTTCTGAAGCCTTGCCCGTCCTCGAACCTGTGGATGTCGGACGCGAAGGCGTAGATGCTCTTGGTAGACTCTTTGCTTTCCCCTTGGGAACTGCCTTTGCAATGGCAAGCGCAGAAGATTGACCTTTGTCATCTTCCGTGGAGCTATCAACGGATTGCACCACTGTGTCATCAGCTGTTGACTCACCAACGGCTGGCGCTGCCACATCGGCACCGAAAGTCATTGTCGTATCTTGGCTTGATCCTGAGTTCATTGTGGTCGTAGTAGATCAAGTAGTCGTTGCTGTAGAAAGGCAGAGCCGCGTACGGCTGATAACCTGCGTGGGGGATTGATCTCGACTTGGTTGCTGCTCTCCCCACCAGAGCTGTAATGAATGTAGGTGTGGCTGGCTAGCACTCTCCACAGACTGGACCCTGTCTCTCCCTCTTACTTCCACACGTGCAATCCTATGCTGATGATATGTTTAACAGTGTTTTTTTAAAGAGGGTTTTATGCGTGGTTTGGGGTTTCCGTTTTGGGAAGGACGAGCGACCTATCCGTGCTGGGCAGCGGTTCATGCATTGTGAGGTGCAGATGATACGCCAAGCCGAGAACCAACTGTCACTGAAACAGCTATTCGATACTTCAGGGCTCGTGAACAAGGGACAAGGCGTGAGCGGATCTGTTTGCGGGAATGTTCGGGAACACAGTTGGGCCCAAGCGCGATGAGGCTCCGAAGGCTCACGCCGAGGAATGTCTGTGACAGCTTTGATTTGGTGAGGACTTCAAACCGGAAAGGTCTCTCGTATTTTTGCTTACAGAGCTTGGGATTACAAACACAACAGTTGAGGACGAAAGCTACAAACTTGAGGGAGAGATGTTTATCTGGATTTACAGTGGTCTGGAACTGCATCTGATGATTGAAATGCAATGCAGCAACATGCATTCGCTGGAAATGGTTAGCATCTGTCAACACGACCTCGCCATCGATCACTCAGCCTGGAGTGCTCCTAGACTGAACTGTTCTGTTTGCTCTTACTCAACGAAGTTGTATACAGCTAATTACAAACGGAGGCCTTGACTTAATGGAGTCTACGACCTACTAAGACAGATTGCGGTAAGAAGCTGCCGACACATATGAGTGTTAAAAGGACTGTGCTCAACATTCACAGGACTGCTCTCTGGAAAGTATTACAGCTGCAACGCGGCATGTTTCGAGGCACGGCTTTCAGTAGTCCAAGTCGAAAGGGCACTGCTCGCCACCTTCCTGCCCATGGACTTTCCAAGCCCATCGCAAGCAAGCTATCACGCTTCGCCTTTCGCTTGGCTCGTCATGGTACACCAGCGAGAAACTCTGATGCCCTGGTGTTGTACGCGGGTACTGCACTCGCCAACGACTGGCGTTCTTGAGCTCTTGAGACACGATGACTGCTCCGTGCTTGCCTTGAGGCATACATTTGCGAATGCTTTCAATCTCAATCTTCTTCCAATCGATTGCCAGGGGCTCTGCTCGTCGCTTCTGTCGTTTGCTGCTCCGCTGTGCCGTTTCGGAGCTCTCAGCTGCAGCACCGGATGGCGCTGCCCTCTTGGCGAGCTCTTCCAACGTGCAGTCCGGCATCTCGTCTTCATCCCGGCTGCGGCCCTGCAGCTTTTTCTTGCACTTCTGGACCTCTTCTGGTTCCAGATACTGCTCAGCAAGTTCCAGATGCTTGGCGCTGTTGATGATGGACCCCAGCTCCGTGAGTTCAGCGCTCTCCCTTTTTGCCAGCATCGCTTCCAAAGACTCCGCAGTCTCCCCGGGAAAGCAATGCTTCAACAGGGACTTGATCACATCCTTGACAGTTGAAGGCCTTTTGCCTTCGTGCTTGATGCCAAGCTTGGTGTAAAGCTTCTGCAAGTTTGGCAGTGTGAGCCCCCGAAACCCCAAAGAAGCTGCAGCTTCCAAGAGCCCACGCCACTGAGTGTGTTGGAAAATGATGCCTTTGCTCTTGAGGCTGTGTAGTCCTCTGAACTGCAGGAAAGCAGGAGATCGTACGACAGCGTCCAACATGTACCACTTTGACATGTCTGTGATGACGGAGAACTGCACTGTGGCCTGGGCGGAAAGATCCAGACAGAAGTACTTGAATACTTTGCCATCTTTGTCAGTGGAGCGGCCAGGTCGCATTGGCCAACTAAGCACGCCCCATGGAGTGCACTTCAGAACGTATGTGAGGTTCTGAAAGTCAAGGTTTCTAGCAAGCACCCAGCCTACGGGCGGCAACAAGGACTGCCAGCACTGTTTGAGTAGGCTCAAGTCTTCTCGCAAGGAAAGCATAGCACGAGTTGCCCAAGAAATCATGGAGTGGTTAGCAGGTGACAAGCTCACCCACGTCTCATTAGAACTCATCTGCTTGAGTCCCTTGGAGCCACCCAGGGAGAAGCCTTCCATCTTGTCTGGCAGGAACAGCTTCTCGGGCAGCTTTTTGGGAACTTGTGTGTCAGCACTGTCGCCAGGACAACTCACCAAGAGGTCGGAGTCCGCAAGGCCTTGCCACAAGCTCAACTTTTCCACTCTGCCGTTCTTGGTTCTACGAGTTGTGTCTGTGGCAAGGTTGAAAGCCTCCTCCACCATCTTGGTGTGCCCAGACATGTTGCCGAAGAGGTCTAACAGGTAGCTGCGTAGATTCTGTGTCACTTGCCAGTCCACTTCTTCCAAATCAATGAAGGCACAACGCACTGTCGTCAGGTTAGGCCACACCAAACTGTCCAAAAATGACCTGTACCAAGGGTCGCCCAAGCTCCATTCTTCCACTCGCAAACAGCAGTGCCACAAGCATTGCAGCTTTTCCAAAGTTTCTCGCTGAGCCTCGGCTTCCAAGAGGCCGACCAGCAGAAATGGAGGAGCGTGACTGTACTCACCCATAGCGAATGCTCTTGTTGCACACACCTCGCGCGCAAGCACAGCCATTCTCTGAGCGAACTCGTTTTCAACTGCGGCCTGGCTTTCCGTTGAGACAGCCTCGTCTGACAAGTCCATGCCAGCCCAGTCTAGCGAGTCTCGGTCTTGGAGCTTTTGAAACACTTCACGGCACGTTGCATTCACAGAGCCTTGGTTCCAGGCTTTTAGCACATGCAGAGTTCCTTCGCGGCTGGCCTGCATGGCTTTCATGTCCTTCCCCATGCGGATACGAACGGGATCCACGACCTCGAGTAGCATATTGAACATACGCCGGGTCACCTCGTTGTTCATGACCAGGGTTGCCATCTCCAGGGAGTTCTTGCACTCTTTGCGCAGGAGATTGACCTGGTCGTTGCTGTGTTTGACGCTTCGGGAAGTCGCACCAGAACCGCTGCCAGCAGCTTTGCTTAAAGCTAAGAGGCCTGAAAGACCGTAGTCCTCGCCTTCTTGCAAGCCCAAGGGTGCATCAGAAAGACTTGCCCACCAGCCATCTCGCCAGCCATGGAACAACATGATGCATAGGCGGGCACTCCAGCAAGGCCGAAACGCCTGACCTGCATCGAAGAAAGACGCCCACCTCGCCCACTTGACATTGCTGCCTTTGTGCTTGAGCTCCTTGTCTCGGCAGAGCATTTGGAACACAGTCTCCATGTGAGACTCGCTCCCGTAGTCAAGGGCACCCTGCAGCCCCCATTCCCGACAAATGTTGGGATAGCAGTTGGCAAAAAACACGTTGTCAAAGGAGCTTTTCGTCGCCATATCTTGCAGGGCACTTTGCAGCTGCCCGTGGAAGGCGGCGCCCTCAAACGGCCCTGACCGCACGTTCATGGCCAGTGTGCACTCCCTGACAACACTCCAAAAAGAGGCCGACACGCACGCAGCCTTCAGATCATTCCACACTCGGTGCCAGGGGTCGTGGAAGTACAGCCCGCGGAGACCATGGCTTTGAAAAGCCATCTGTACGCAAGGCCATCCTATGGAACCCTGGTCCACGCAGACCACGAGACTGGGAGACAAGTATGGTTCACCATTGCTGTCCAAATGCTTCGCATGCTCCAAGCTCCTCTTGCCAGATTCTGTATCTGCCAAGACCATACGCTTCTGACCAACCCCATGCTGCCGTCCGATGATGACAGTCTCTCTTCGCTCATGTGGCTGCAGGCGCTGCGGTCGACGCAGCGGCAGGAAATCGCAGAGAGAATAGCCCGTACCAGCTTTCACGGCGTGCTCAAAGCAAAGCATGTAGTGCATGTTGGCTGCACGATACGGCCTTAGCTCGTCTTCAAGGACGTCGCCTTTGTCGTCCTTCTCAGCTCCCTCTGTTTCAAGCCATCGCAACAACTCGCTCTGCAAGATCTTCGCGCTTTCTTCGGACTCTGGGGCAACCCCAGGCTCGTCTGTCAGCACCTGTCAGGGGCTTCCGGCAACAAGCTGGTCAACGACAGTTTCGCTTCGAGTTTGGCACCAAGCTTAAAATCGAACGATCAAAACAAAGCATAAAAAAATTATGTCTACGGTCTATGGAAAATGCCGCCTACGTTTCCGTCGTCTACTTTACCAATCGGGCCGAGGAGATGTCTAAGACGCAAAGACGGTGTCTTAGACCCCAGGAGAAAGTCTTAGACAAGCTCTTGATGTTCAAAAACAACACGACCCTGTGTCTTAGACGCCCGCAGAATGTCTTAGACCCGAAACGGTTGTCTAAGACGCACATGCAGTGTCTTAGACCCGCCCAAAGCTCTTTAGACATGTTGTTGGACCAGCGACCTTGTCCTCAAGACCGACATGAACCTTCCCATCGCTAGACCTCGGCCTGCACCTCAAAGTTTAAGCCTGAAACCCGAGTTGCCCCCCTAACCCCCTTTCTTCACAATCCAAATCCCTAACCCCTCGACCCTCAACCCAATCCTTAAACCGTCAACCCTAAAACCCAAAACAACATTCCGTCCTGCGGTGGCAACCAGACACCCACGCCGTCTCTGGAAGCAGCCCCCACAAGCAGATCCTGTCCTGGATCCCCCAATCGCTTAGCGTCCAAACTCACGGCGACAACCACGTTAGTTGTCCGGTCTTTCTGAAATGCCTCCCAGCTTTTAGCGATGTAGCGACAAGCGTCTCTCTTCTGCCACTTCAGTCCTGCGGTGCGATCAGCGGCATTGTGCACACAGTTCAGAACCTGTCGTGAAAGGTTGTGCTCAACGGCTTGTTGCCGCAAAGCCTCCACGACATCTTCATCCACAGCTTGCCTGCGGTCTGCTGCAGGATCCAAGGACCTGCCCAGAAGCACATCCTCGTGTCCAAATTCCACAAGATGCTGTTCCACAAGCAGCGCTATGTCCTCCAGCACTTTCAAGCACAAGTATTTGGCACTTTCGCAACTGTCTGAAGTAGACCACACTTTGCACAAGCAGCTCACGGTTTTGTCCAAAAAGGTTGCTGTTGACATTGCATGCGATGCCGTGGGCAGCTCACCTAAGACCTGGGACAGGTGAACGCATGTTCCCAAGCCTGGTCGCTGCAGACATCGCTGCAGAATACCTGTGTCTGAAAATGGCGACAGAACTGCAGCCATCGAGTCCCCGGGGATTGATGCTTCAAGCATGCTTCGAAACAGGAATCTGCATCGCTCTTGATTGCGATGCATTCCCGAAATGCTCCATTGGCAAAGAAGCGCGAGAGCCCCCAATGTAGTAATCTGCCACTCGTTCCGGAGCAACTCCGGTTGCTGCATGCCCTTGAAGTTCTTGTTGCTGTATTTGCTGGCCTTCTTAGATTTCACTAAGCATTCATCCACACTCAAGCCCAGCAGCTCGAAGCAGTTGCGCCACTCTCCATCAGCACCACAACCTTTGTTGACGATCTCATGCACATATTGGGAGCGGGGGACCTTGCCGCAGCAATGCAGCAAACGTCGCAGCTCCAACAGCAGTAGCCGCTCACCGTCAGTGTTGCTGTAAACCCAGGTTTTCAAGTTCACAGCTTCAGACTTGCCATTGTGCAGCTGGCTACAAGCAAGGTACCGCGGATGATAAGCAGAGAAAACCATGATTTCGTGGGTGAAACAAGCATGGACACGCGCATGCCTAGCGAGTGTTGGCTACATACAGGACACGTCTGTTTCGTGCGCGGAGGTTGTGTTGCAAGCTCCTCGCTCTCAACTTGGGACGGTAGCAATACACATCTTGCTTTCTACTTGACTTCTGGAAACTAATGTGACACGGTCAACATGTACAAGTGGCTCCAACTACCTCTCGAAACGAACGATGTTATCATCAAAGCTTCGGGGCGCGGGTCTGGGACTAAGCTCTTAATCGCGAGGGCCCGGGCTTACTACGAGGGTGCAAAGGCCTCATGCGCATAACACCTTGAGTGCGACGTGGCACACACAAACACACACGGCAACTGCACAAGAGCTCTTGCGACTGGGTTCTTGGTTCCGTGGGCTAGAAACTCGCTCCAGCGTCACACAACAACTACGGATGCGGCATATGGAAGGAGTGGAGCGTCGCTTGGAACATCTGCGGCAATTCTGCAAGGCTGACACACCGAAGATTCTTTAAACCCCTCCGAAGGCGCACTCCTCGTTTGCAGCTCACTGCGTACAGTGAGGCGCGGCAGTGCTTCGAGCAGCTGCAACCCCGAAACCCCTGCTACGCAAGTACCGGTCCCTGCTCTTACACTGCAAAAACAACTTATAGTAGGACATCGGATGTACTTCAAGTTTACCATACGACTGTAGGGCCTAAGCAGCTTCTAACGTGCGAGGCATACGACTTCACTTCGAGCAGATACGGACCCGCCTAGACCTGTGCAAAGAAAACCAGGCTGCAAAACAACTGTCGGCTGGATGGCGCGCAGGTCCACTGCACTCGTTAAAGCAATAATGATGAGGCTCAAGGTTTAAGTTTAATTGGTGTTTAGGGCTTTTTTGCGGTATCTGTTGCTGGATTTTAGGGTTTTGGGGTTAGTTACGGTTCGAGGCGGGTTTAGGGTGGAGGGCTTAAGATTTTTTTTTGGCGGGTACGTCAAACTATACACAAGCCTCTACAGAACACAAGCGTTTATCCCAGCTGCGCCATCCTAGCAGGAGTTTTGCATGCCCTGTGAAAGTTTGGCAAACCTAAAGGTGCAACTTGGAACACTGCTTTGATCGATCGGCTAAGCACTTCCCTGAAGTAGCAATGCCTCAGAAAAGGAAACGGCTACGGCTCAGCCTCAGTCAAGTCCATGTCCAGCTCCGTGGTCTTCTTTGGCGATGACCCGGTGGCAGCCTCAAGCACACCACTCAAGTCCTTGCGGCAGCTGTCGTCGTCCTGCTCCTCGGTTTCAGCTGGACTGGGCTTTTCATCTCTCGACTTCTCCTTCGAAGGTGGCGAGTCTCCACCCGGACTGGTGCCGGCACGGCGCTTTTGGCTGCTCTGGCACCAGGACTGTGAACCCAAGCGCTTGACGTTGAAGGGCTGCTTCACCAACTGCGGATTCTCGGACTCCTGGCACTCTGACCGGGGTGCAGTAAGCATCGCCTGTTGGGGATTCTCTGCGGCTCCGTCTGAAGGCAAACTCACCACGAAAGCTTTGATGTCTTCAAAAGGATCATCGGGGAAGTCGTCCTTGAAGAGCTTCTTCAACGGATAGCTGAGGACCCCATCGGACTCCACGAGAATGGCACCCTTGGAGGAGTGGTTGGCCTCGATGTGCAAGTTCGTCATGTCGTTGATCACTGCGAGCTGGTCTGCCGGCAATGCGCGGGTTGGCTTGTCCGTCAAGAACTTGTGGGTCACGAAGACGCTCTCCCCCTCTGAGCTGATCTGGTACACGCCATGCGTGTCCCACTGTGGCGGCAAGGGCAAGCATCGCAACCGATGCCCATGCAGCTCGTTCAACTTCGCCAAAGCCTTCTGCAAGTTGCCAACAACCTTGAAAGGACCCGATGTGCCGATCCACGAAGACGGGCTGCACTCTGTGGCAAACTCTATGAGCTCCTGGATTGCAGCCTTGGGGATGGCCTTCTTGGCAGTCGGCTTCAAGGCGTTCAACGCATGAGGTGTCACCACTGCTTCGCCGATGTTCACAAGGAGGTACATGAGCACGTCCTGGTGCAAGCCTCCCAAAGCCGTGGTTGTGCGTGGCAAAAACGAGCTTGCATCCACTCGTTCCTTGCTCTTTGCCGCGGCTTTGCTCTTGGGGGCAGCGTCATTCTTGAAATGGCTTTCCAGGTCCACGCCACAGTCCTCCAAAGCAGCTTCGCAAGCTCCGCACAATTCCGCGGAACCTTTGATGATCGAATAGATTTTCTCAGCCCTTGCTGCCAGCTCCAGTGCCAAGCCCTGCTTCCGATGAGCAGCTGCCTTCTGCAGCTTTTCACTGGCACTCGGTTTCTTCGGCATCTGGCGATGAGGAAATCTGAACGCAACACGTCGGCTACACTACTCCGGTTCACCTGGGGTTTGAGGCACCCGTGAATCAGCGAAGACGGGTTTTGCCGATGACTTGTCTCAGACTGCCACTTCAAGACTGCAAACTACAACCGAAACCTGAAACCTGAAAGGCTAGGATCTGTTCGCACCTCTTGGAATTCAGCCTGTACCCTGCATAAGATCTCAAATCAGAACACAAGAACAGCAAGCCTTCCAGTCACCTGTCCACACCTACCCAAGACCCCTCTGACACTAGAATTTCCAATCCTTTGACCAACCTCAAGAAGGAAACCTATGCACTTCCGAAAAACCCTGTTTCAAAAAACCCCTTTAGGTTCTTCATGATATGCAGGCAGAACCGGCGGCCGTTCCTTTTGCACTCACTGCCGGCGGCGGTTCGTCTGTGCAACGGGATAGCTCTGATTGCTCAGGATAGAAGACACATATATAGCACTTAGCTATGGGCATTGACTTGAGCCAAACGTTGCGTTGGCGGTCACATAGAAAGGTAAAGATGAGGGATGCGTAGCATGCCCCCTATAGTCGAGGGACGCGTAGCGTGCCCCCTTCTCTTGCACTTTACACGGTCTTGCTCACAGCTCTTATAGTGACACCTTAGAACTTGACAAGGCATCGCAGTCCGTTCGCAAAAAGGAAATAAAAGCGATAGTAATTAAATATAAGGTATAGTATAATATGGGTAGTAGAATTTCAAAAGATAATGAGAATAATTGTATCAATCAAATAAATAATATTAATGAAAATGATTTAGATTTGAGTAATATTGATAGATTACAAATTAAAGTATTAAAAGAAATGATAAAGGAAATAATAGAAGTAAAAGAAAAAAAGAGTGATAAAATAATGTATCGTTTGCCTGTTCAAATATGTAATTACAGCTTGTTTTAATTAATAATATTATTGTGAAATAATATTATTAATCTTCACCATCACTAACCATTATCCTATGTGTAAAGTTCTTCATAAAGACTTCATCAATGTCGCTTTTTGTAAGATTACAATATGAAAAACTATATGGTTCGCTTGTTGCTTCATTGTAAATCTCTAATAATAACCTCTTTGCTTCTGCTACATTTTTAGCATCTGCCAACATCTTTTTGTTTATTAACATAGCCGATAATTCTTCAATCATTGTCTCTATCTCTTTATAATTTCTCATTTTGAAGAAAAATAACTGTCTTGAATTAACACGAATTATTCTTGACAATGCCCGATATGCTTGAACGCTTGTAATCACTGTCAGGGCATTATGGCGACCCCTAACATATAACTGATTTAACAAACTTGAGTGTCTGCTAAATTTTTCGTTGTCTGCCATATCGTCTATTACGAGTAAGCAAGAATGTAATGTTTTATGGTCGTTTTTCTTTTGATACTCTATAACCTTATGGTGTCTTTCTATAATTTTTTGTAAATCCGATGCGATATATTCTTCAAAAAAGCACTGCTCTTTTTCAGTATCTACTTTCATTTCATCTTTTATATATTTCTTTACGGGTGTCCATATACTATCTACATTTATTGATGGGCTAAAACCATATATACGAGCAAAACAATTTCTGTAAATATCTAAAATTAACGACTGTAATAAAATAGTTTTTCCTGAGCCTGACGGTGCTGATATTATCATAGATGCTGGTAATTTAGGTGCTACTTCATATTTAGACTGTTTAAAATCATATTCTTTAACATTGATAGGTTTAACTATAGGAGTAGTCATTATTATTAATACATAGAAAAGTTATATCGTTAATATTCAAAATCTAAATAGTATAAATGAGCGAGGCTTCAGAAGACAGCAACGACAAAGGATTTCGTATTAATGCTAAAGGTATATCTTGTATCCCCTGCCGTTGCAAAAGACTATTTTATCATAAGGAGACTACAACTGTTAAAGAGAATAACACAATAACAACTAATACGGTGGTTGATAAAAGAAACACTAAATTTGGTGGTAGTGGCAGACACACCAGTCCTGACGATATTTTTAAACCAGATACTAATTTGCAGGAAGGAAGCGTTGAAATATGTGATACAGGATGGAGTAGTAAAGAAAGTAGAATAACACCTGAACAATTAGAAGAAAGAGTAGAGAAGTTGGAGACTGATGTTGATTTGTTGAAAAAGGATGTAGAAGATATAAACATTTATAAAATTAAGATGGATTAAAGATTTAAAAATTAAAATCTAATCTATATTGACAGCTGTATAGTCTTTTGAGCTTTTGGAAGAAGGAGAAAAATACCCCCGTAGTGTTCCCTGTTTCACATTGGATGGTCTCACGAAAGGGAAGTAGTGTCTGAACATTCAATAGCAACTCATAAGCAGGTGCTTAATTAGTTTGTTAAATCCTATAGGAATTGGCTTTATAATTTTAATTATAAAGCGAATTATATGACAATATACACTGATAAAATTGAAGTATCATTCTCAGATACTGATAAAATTGAATATATTTATTGTTGTTTGGAAATAAGATATTGTAAATTATGTAAATCATATAAAGAGAAAGAAAATTTTAGAAGTCGTCAAAAAAGCAAAGAGTTCAATATCATTTGTAGGAGATGCTTAGATAAACAGAATAGTTATAGGAAAAATGCAAAGTTGA